CAAAGTCCAAATATACAAACCCACGACATCCATGCTGGTAGGATGAGATAGGTATTTCAGTGCGCTAAGCTAGGCTTGCAGGTAAAGGTTAGTATTTCAGGAGACTTAAATCATGCTGGTACGCGTATATTATGCCAAGATACACATTTATTGCTGTGTCTTGCTATCAAATATTATGACTGCTCTACACGAGCCAATGCATCAACACACATTATTGACAGTGTATGTAATATAAACACGAAAACATAATTTATTATAAGCAAATATTTTTCATACCACGAGTGAAATGTCTCTAAGCAAGAACTGTATGCGCCACCACTCGATTAAACGCGATGCATGTTTTACGTTTCTCGTGTATATTTACCTTGCGCGCATATTTGTGTGTTCACTGAGCAAACAAAAAATTGGCTGTCGGGATTTTCGAGTTGGGCAAACGTTTGGAAATCTCAGTAAAGGATCGACGCATCGCTTGCGCCGCTCTCACGGCGAGGACGCACGTGCGTCATTTCGATTGGCCAGGAAAATGCCGCGAGGACATTCGTCGGTAATTTGAGAAAGCAGGTAATTATTTTTCTTGACTAAGATTTTTCCCTGACCTCATCGAAGAAACGGCGGGGGGAGGGGGGGCGATTGAAAGACCCACGCCCATCAGCGCGTGGAGAGAATTCTCGTGTTCCTTCGCGGTTTTCCCAATTTGATATTTTTTTTCCAAAAGGCGAGCCAAAGGAAATCCACGGCAGAACCGAATTACTCCGGTGGTGAAGTCACGCACACAAACACGAATGATATTAACATCTAGGGATCATGGAAGATGACGGTTAATTTTGGTAAGCCTTCATCCAACAGTGAACTGACTCTGGCTGACAATGATTTATATATCGGCATATATTTTGGAGTTTTTAACACTTGATGTCCACTCATAGAAACCTATCCACATGCAAATTAAACAGCGTTTAAGTTGCGAACTTTATAAAAAAATAAATGTCAGTTTTATCAGTCCCACATATTTGAGAGTAATCTCTAACTACAAGTCAGTCACAATCTCTCAAACCTCCAACCTCCCGTTCCCCCCCACCCCCCACCGTATCTCTCCTCTGCAGGAGTGCCATTGCCTGAAGCATCAGCGTGCTGTATATATTTTTCGCTATCAGGCAGTGGTAATGACAAATTTTGATTTAAAGCTTTCGTGACTGCAGGGATTCATATTCTTGGTTCTTTCGGTAAAGTCACATAGAAGGGAAACAATAAAATAATAAAAATATAAAACAATACAATTCTCACGACGTTTCGACTGCAACACAAGCGCATCATCATCAGGTGTGAAAACCACAGCAGGAAAATTTGAAAAAAGTGGCGTTTTTTTTTACGTTAGCACCACGGAGAGCGATTTGGCAGTTTGTTCAGATGGACGAGTCCATCTATGTTCGGAAAAGAGGAGGGGGGAGACAAAAATAATGGATGCAGTCTGAAAGCCACCATAAGCGTGAACAATCAATTAAGACCCGAAATGGTTTATCAAATCCTTCCAATGATTGATAAGCCAGAATCCATCTTCTCGGTTGAAATTATCTGTTTGTATATGTGGATAGCCTCATGAACGAATCTCTCATGGTAGGCAAATGGCTGGCAAAGAACCTCTGTCTTTTTATTATTTTATTATTATTTTATTGTTTCCCTTCTACGTGACTTTACCGAAAGAACCAAGAATATAATGACAAATTTGTTGAGGTTTAAACAAATACAAATCATTCGTACTGGTGCACGGCTGCCAAAAGAGCCGCATAATTTTATGCTTCAATAAAGGCAAGCTCGTTTTGAAGTAAAAAAAAAAATGGCAACCGGTTCCCAGGCTGTCTCGAACTCATAACACTATGTAATGTCGCTATTCTCACAAGTACATTCACTCAACAGTTACAAAAAAAAAACGTTTTTTGTTGTTGTTGCTTTTGTCGTTGTTGCAATCTTTGACAACATGTTCAGGAATGTCGAGGTCCGCTGGCCACGACAAGAGGGCTTCAGCAGTGAGAGAGTTCGTGGAGTTTTGTCGTTCAACAATTGAAGAAGAGCACACCGGTGGTTTACTCTACGGTCCGTTGTCTGGATTGCACCGTCACATTTGCGCGACTGTGGATTGCCTTTAATTCCCCTATTGATGGAGATGTGTACATCGGCCTGTTGTTGATGTTCTGATGTGACAGATGGTTCCACCGGTGCCTTCGAGCAGGAATGTCACAGCCATTATATTGTTTTTGAACAGCTCTGTGTTTTCCTGGTGGCAAGTACAAATCTAGTTACTTATTGAGATAATCTATCCATCTAGAATTCTGTTTTCTGTCACGCATCTGCCCGGCACTGCACATTTTAACCCAAAATCTCTGTGCCTGTGTGACCCAGCCGATGAATAATGTTCATGTGTTCAGCGATTACTGGACCGAGTGGGATTCTGGGTATCATCTTCAGTGCCAGCTGGATAGATTACTGGACCATAGCTGTGAAGGCCTCATCGCCCAAAGGATCTTGAGCTCACAAATTAGATTTTTTATTGCTGTGTCTTGTTTTCCAAGATTCTTACCCGCTCTACACGAGCCCATGCATATTATTTACAGTATATGTAATATAAACAGGGACACAGAAATCATGAAAATTAATAATTTTCCACTGTTAGTGAAACGCGTCTCCAAGCATGCTCTACCTTTCCACGTAACGTTACACGTGTGCGACGTTTGTTTTGGATGTTTACAAATCACGCATCTGTTTCCTGCACGCCTAGACGAAGACTCGTGGGGATTTTCCGGGTCAGATCGCTGGACCGAGAGAGAGTCTGGGTTTAAACCTTCGTGAATTTCCGCATTCTCCAGATTATCGGATGAACCTCCCCCCCCCATATTTCAAGCAAAATTTTGGGGTGCATCTTATAATCCAGTAGGTATGTGCGTGCGTGTTTATATGCACAACCATATTTGTATAACTTTATTGACACCGGGCACATCTCTGGGGTGCGTCTTATTTTCTGGAGTGTCTTGCACTCCAGCGAATACGGTGCCAGATATTCACCCCCGACCTGACCTCCCTGGAATCGTTTGAAAAGCACCTGTGACATTAGCCATGTGACCTGTGACCTGGAGCGGTGGGTCTCCAAAAGGCCGAATCATTACATAGGCAAGGCCTCTGCCGGCCGCCACACGATAGACGCCCACAAGTTGCCAGCCGGAAAATATTGAGAATTCTCTGCGGTGCTTCGCACAGATGCACAGTGTTAACCCACACCCGGAGCGCACGCCAATTAATGAACCTTCATTGACCGCACAAACGTCCGAAAATGGAACGTTTGTTATTGAGGGCCAATTTAAACAAGCTTTTGGGTGACTGCCGTATACAGGCGGGGGGTTGTGTTACTTGCTACGAGTAAGATAATGCGCGGTCTCTCTCCGACACGCGTCTCTTTACTGTCAACACAGTGCCTGCATTCAAGAGGCAACGTGTGAATTAGATCTCCTGCTACCGTGATCATTGAGCCGGCCGTCTGCCATGTGTTCCACTCGGTTTGAGTTGCGGTTTCGATGCGGCGACGCTCAATACGGGTCGAGCGGCCGGGGACCATCCAGCACCGCCGTGACTCACTCGTTCCCTAAGTATACGCCCAAGCGAGCGGCTAAAGGTGGTTCGTTTGGGAGCGGCGCGTCCTCTGTGTCGATCACATTGAGGACTCGCGTCTGACGGCTCCAATTAAATTTGGCAACGTCACAGTCAAGCAGTCAAAATTAGCCTCATGATACAAAACTGGGCGTCGGAAAACATGTTTTTTTTTCTAATCGGGATCCATGGTGTAGGATGCAGTGTCCAACGCTTACCATCCAGTCCATCTCTCTCTGGCCTCTTCATTTGTGTGCCACAAAGGAGGGCCATTGTCCCGAAACGTCAGCTGTTATACATTTTTTACCATTTAAGGCCACACACATATATACGCAGTGTTGTTACTGGTGAACGTGTTGATTTCTTCCCCATCACGATATTTATTTATTTGGACATACTTCACCATGCCTGTCAGCGCGGTTCGGTGAAAGGTGGAGAGCGTAGATGGCAGCAGCATAGCAATGCAGCACAACGTTTGATTTTTGCTGCACTGCTGAGGAATCGTGAAGGAGACTCGCGAAGGACATGACTGAAAGACTTGGGAAAACTACTGCAAGAACCGCTCATGAAGATGACGGACACTCGTCGAGACGAACAGTGAACCACACTGTTGAAAAACTCTCATTAAGTAGATTACTCAGGAACACGAATGAAGAGGACTCGAAGATCGATGCAAAGAGATGATGCCCAAAATCCAAACGAATATCCAAATTCGGTCACCCCATCATGCCAAGAGGTATCGGAGCACCAAATTTAGAGCCGGGCTAACTGATGATTATCCGAGCAAATCAATTACTCCACCGATTATCGGTTTCAATTACTCGGCAAAATCATCAGGTGTTACAAAACTTATAGGGAGGGGGGGGGGGTTGAAACCTCGCCTCTGTTCCCACATGTGCCGATGGATGGGAGGTTATGGGCGTGGTTTGTTGACGTCATCGCCATCGGCTGTCTCGCCACGTTGGGCGTGGCCTGTAGCAGGGGGGGGTCTCCTGCCTTCGTGTGGTCAGCCTCCGTTTTTTAAATGTTGGGCGCGTAATCGACGACAAAAGGAGATAGTTGATTGAGTTTTTTGTTCATTGCTTGACTTCCTCAAGTTTTCAAGTTTATTTCGTATCACCAGGACGAGAACACTCAAGATGCACGTCTGTACGTTGAACTTGTTTTGCACCTTATGTAGCCAACCGTGCTAATCGAAAGGTGTGGGGGAAGGACAAATGACTTCATCGACTAATCATCCCAGCTCTGCGTTAAACGACAGCGTGCCCAGGTACCGTGTGCGCGCAGCGCTTGTTTGGATGGCAAAGGCACGTTAAGGGGGAGAGACGCGGAGATGGCAGGGGGAGGTGGATGGCGCTGGGACTCACCCTCGACCCCTTCTCCGGGAAGCACTTGCAGCCGCCGGAGCAGTCGCGCCCATTGCACGGTCCGTCGTACACCTTGTTACCCTGCGCACACGCGGGGACGGGCAGACACGGGCACGCGGACACGTCATCACGACCGCCCTACTCAGCCATACCACCGCCGCAGCCGCCGTCATGAGCCGACACGCGAACTCCGGTCATCCTCGCAGCGGCGGCTTTTGGCGAACCGCATCATCGCGCGCTTTCGGACGCGCTTCTGCGGCCGTCTGGAATGCTCTTCCTTCCGATAGTAGAAAGCCACTGCAGCTAAGCACTTTCAAATGCGTATATTCGTTGTCCTTCCACCGCACCTCCGATCAGCACGGTTTGGCTATGCACGGTGCGAAAGAAGTTAAACGCACATAATACATCGTGATCATCAATCCACCATGACACCTTCGTCATCGTCAACAACAACAAGATCATCATCACCACCGCTTTCAATTCAGCACGCAAGCGGCCCCAACTGTTCCAAATGACTTCACGGGGATATTCATCGTCCACCGTGAAGCGGGCGGCGTGTAACGGAATCACCGTGGGCCGTGCCGAGGTACGGCCACAATGTGGGCGGTACCTCGACCCCCCCCCACTCCCCCCCCCCCCCCCCGCCGAACACGTTGGCACGATCAAGTGTTGCGAAAGTTTCACACTCGGTCTAGTCCCAATGTAACAGTGACCATTATTGTGTTGCGACAGTTGCAGACATATTGAGTACCAGCAAGTGTAATACCAACAAGGGGATAATGGAGCGATTTTTTTTTATCTCTGTAATTTTTTGTTTGCCCACAGCGAAGTGATTTAAATTTCATCAAAGCACAGTCATAATTCAATAATCATCTAAAAAGGCATGTGGTTCTCCTTTTTGGTTTTTGTAAATGCCGCAAATTCCTTTCTTTGTTCGGAACTGTCTTTTATTCACCCATCCAGAAGGGCAACTGTGCTTGTGACTGTGCAGCCAAAAAGTGAAAAAGGAAACGGAAAGAATTGCCCAACCAGCCCAAAGGTCAGCCTTCCTCGGGAATGTATATTTTTTATGCAAAAAGACATTTGGCAGTTGTAAATGTTGTTCATACCTGCGTCGGCACTGCACTGCTCTGAGCACTCGAGCATGTATACAACCTTGAGAGTTGAAAAACCCTCCAAGTATCCAGGATGGTGGCATGACCCTGGTAATCTCTCTACGACCCGGGATAAATTCCGAACCTTTTCTCGCCATGTCTCTTATCTGGCCAGGGGTTTAGTCCCTAAATCACTTCTTCTTAAAAGGAGTACCTGGTATCACGTCTCAGGATCACGAGTATAATGCCCTTAGTTTACTCGGGGAAGCCTTTTCCGAGTCCTGAGAGTTGTTTTCACAAGCCTTCTTGCGTTTGAGATGCTGCGCCAAATCCATGAATACGTATTTAGCTTTTGTTAGGAAACCGGATCGTTACCCGGAAAAAAATCCCATGAATGGATGTCTTACGTTTGCTGTAACTACTGTATCTCCTGGGCACCTGCTGAAACAAAAGATGTGCTGAGGAGTGATGCTGGCCATATAAATGGTCCTAATATGTGATGCATTATCCAACAACTTTCACTATTTTTTTTATTTAACCAGGTAAGGCCCAATGAGCTACGTAACCCTTTTTCAAAAGCGTCCTGGCCACAAATGATAGCTCACCGAAGTAGCTTATCACGTGCAAATGTATAACAGACAAATACACTAAACGTGTGATGTTGATTCTAAATGTGGAGGGGGAAACCGGAGGACCCAGAGAAAAATCCACGTGACCACGGGGAAAACACGCAAACTCCAAATATACAGCAGGCGTCAGGGTAGGGATCGAACCCATGACCTCCTGCATACCAAGCGAGAGAGCTAACATCTGGCCACCATCAGACATCTTCTGTCCTCCGCTCGATGGAGATATCTCCTGATGCCATCCGTCATGGTCTTGTGACACTGGATAAATAATTATGTAAAGGATACACAACAGGGCTCCTTGTCTGTGTGTGTGTATAGTCACATGCATGCAGTGGTAATTTAGTGGTTAGCACACCGTGCTATGAATCCGGCGGCCAGAGTTCGATTCCCACTCACGAACAATATCAGTGATGAACATATAAACTGGTCCTACGCCTACCCTAAGCTGACGCAGCCGTAAATGAGTCCCAGGTGCAGTGTGTAAACTTCAACACTGGGGAGACAAAGGTGGCTGGGTGTAACGTTGGCCATCCACACCATCGTATGCCCTGCCGGCCTTCATAGGTGCTCGCTAACAACAATTGCCCGAACAGTCTGTTAGGCTCTATGGGGGACTTTCGTCTTTTTTGTGTGGGATAAATGTGCACGCCCAAGCTAAAGTCTTGGCGTAGTGATAATAATTGTGCTAGGCATTTGAAATGTCACGGTGGAGGGAATGAGATGGCACAGAGTGGCCAAAGTAAACACCATTATCAGTTGTAAACATTACTCTGGCGAAACAAATAAAAATAAAACAGGCCCAGTGTGCGAATCACAGTCAGCAGATCAATAGACAGACTGTTAACAAAAATCACTTCATTGCTTTTCCCAGGCGGAGCGCGTCGACCAAGCGAGCCCAATCTGGCGGCCGCGGCGTTTACCGCTCCTGCCTCCCCCCGTGAGGAAGCAGTCCCCCGGCACGACGAGCCAAACCCCCCCCCTCCCCACCCCCCTCGACGTCGGCCGTACGCAGACGAGAGCGAGCGCACGCGCGCACCATCCCCGGTCGCGCCACCGTTCCTCTGCGCCCACTCCCCGCCCCCGCCGAGTGCGACGCGAACTGGCGGCGATACAATTTCAATGTTCGTGCGTGCGACCACAGCCCCACATCATTTCCCCCGAAGCACTGACAGCGCGATGGCCAGGCAGCGCGTTGCACGCCGTCTTCAAAGGTCAGCACACCGCTGACCTTTGAACTTTGAACTCACAACTGTTTATGCCGTCGACTCGTTGGGCCACCCAGCAACAGGCCACTTCACCCGATGAAAAAAAAAAACTTCAGTCTCTCCCCATTCATCGCCGACATCTTTCGATGCTAACCAACGCTGGCTCAGGGTTGCGCAAAATGCCATGGGCGAGTGGGGGGAGGCATTGCAGGCATCTGCCAGCATTCAAAGTTCACACGTCCCGTCATCTGCCCGTTGATTAAAATTGCAGTGGCATCTACGACGGGCACTCTGTCATTGAGCCGATAACGTCACCGGGATAATAAGAGAGTGTGGCTTGGTTTGGAGGAAGCAGGGACGAGGTGAGTTTTGGAGGAATGGTTCATGGAGCAGGGATGGCAGGGATCGCACGGATGATTTGGACTTTTGGGGTCATAGTTGGTCACTGGAAGTGCGTATAATTTTTTGAACCGTAACCTGTTAAAAAAAAAGGTTCCGCATTGGCTACCATTAAGGGCATCAGTGGCAAAGACTACAGTAGAACTCCTATTAGCACGGTTGATTACGCACGGTACGAAAGAAGTTCAACACACGTACACAAAACGCACGCGTAGGTACAGAATCCACTTTGTTCCGTTGGCGAATTGAAACTGGGTTTACATTGATCTATCTGCTGTTGCGTCCGTCCGTTTTTTTGTTTTTACGATGACCAAAAGCCTCCGGGCAGAACGTTCCGCTACTGCGCGGAGGAGACGAGGCCATGGGCGGCGGAGAATGTTCCACTTGTCGCGGAGGTTCGCGGTAGAAGCCCGGCGGCCGCCCTGGTCAACGAAGCGCCCGCTGCTACAAAGCAAACGGCGTGCGTCATTCCCTTTTGTAGCGGACACTTCGCAGAAAAGTGGAGGTGGCTATCGCAGCCAGCGTCAAGTTCCACATTTTTAAAGTTTACCTGAAAATGTATTGGGGGGCCGGGGGGGGGGGAAACCAGATTGCAACATCTCTCCCCCCTGCTGTTAAACTATTGCAAACGATACTCGCTTGTGAAGCATATTGCCTGAGCGATAGCCGAGTGCCATTAGAGTGGCACGGACAGCGATTGTAACGATGACTTGATTTGATTTGGTGTGGGAAGCACCTCGCAGTTTGGTTTACGTTTCCCCCCCCCCCCCCCCCAAGTACCCGACGACGGGGAGTGATGAAAGAATGACTCTATTGCCATTTTACTCCTCGGCCTGAGAAGCTTTGTGATTTTTAAGAAGTCAAAACATTACGATTTTTCAACAAAGGCCAGACCCGAAAGAGTCAGCTTAGAAAAAAAAAAATCCAACATGGTATGTTAACTTGTAATTCAATGAGGCATGCATTCTTGAAGGTCATCCTTGCTAATTCAATAACGTGGGTTCTTTATTTGTGACCAGGTAGGAATCAAGTCATAGAAAAACCAAAATGTTGTTCAAGAGAGACCTGAGTAAAACAAACCAAATGGACGTGTCAGCGCACTGCACTCTGAACCCGGCTACCTGAGTACGATTACTCCTCACGGCTATCATCGGTGGCGAGTGATATCCGAACCGGTGCTAGCATCCCCAACTTCACCAACCCACCGTGACCAAATTATTTGGCGATGCTGCCGCCTATGCAGTGGTCCACAAGCATAATTAACGAACGAAAAAAAAACACTCAACACTCTCGTCAATACTTCTATAAAAGGAAAAGTAAACAAAAGGCGACGTTTTGGACGCTCGTCCTTCTTCATGGCACGTAGAGATGCCAGAGGGGTGCTGCCCACACTCAGCAAGCATGGGGAAGTATGGTCAAACGACCCCCATGACCGACACGCCGTGGAGGGAGGGGGCCTTCATTCAGCAGCGGATTGATCAAAGGCTGTAAACATCAGGAGACTAGGAAAACAAATTAGACACAGCACATTCACACAAGATGTCCCAGATGAACTTAGGAAGGAGGCAAGAGCAGAGAGATTGCCATTAATGTGTTATTCTTGTATTATTTTACATCTGTTACATTTTATCAGTTCCCCAAGTTGCCCATAAAGATTTATCTTACTTGTCCAAGAGAAACCAAAACAGTTACCATCGTGCTCGGATGTCACGAATTCAAGGCATTCAAGATGGGGGGGGAGGGGCAGGGGGTGT